GTTACACCAAGATATACCACAGAATCTTTGAAAGGTATAACATTATTATCCACAATAATGTTTACCAAATTGTCAAAGTCAAGGCTGTTGATGTACTTTGCTGAACCGAAGATTACTGCAGAGGTCTTTTTTGAATTAAGTGCCAGACCATTGCTTGTTGCCCATTTCACAATGTTAGTGATGTCATAATTAATGCGTGAAATTGCGTCTTTTATAGAGTTAGGTGCGCAATGTATGTAGATGAGTAAATCATCAGCATAATAACTGTGCTTACTATGCTTTAAAACTTGACTGAAGTCCGATACGTATAGCGTAAACAGCAGAGGGCCAAGCACAGATCCCTGCGGAACTCCAGTTTCCATCAGAAGCTCATCAGAAAGGGACATAGTGGTAGGATCCCGAACAGATTGCATTCTNTGATCAAGATAAGAGTAGAGCCATCTTAAAGTAGAATTTGAGAAGTTTTTATTGAAAAGCTTGTTAATAAGTTGTCTGTGGTTCACACAATCAAAGGCCTTNGAAAAATCGAAGAAGACAGAAACAGTNACTTCTNTTCTATCAGCTGCAAAACGAATATCGTCCATAACTCTGACCAGGGCAGTCTGCGTTGAGTAACCTCGCCTATAGGCATTTTGAAAAGGATCAAGGCCGTTAGATTTCTCCAGAAATTCAGTCATCTGAGTTGCTACATTCCAGCGCCTTCGAGATGGCACATAGAATAGATATCGGTCGAAAGTGCTGAAGCTCAGAAGGGCTTTTGGTTTTGGGCACAGGGCAGACAATNGCTGACTTCCAGATAGATGGAAAAATTCCGTGGTTTAGGCTGAAGTTGAAAATGTGCGTTATGAAGGGAAGAATTTGTGGCAATGCNATTTTAATGAGTCCGATAGACAGGCGGTCTTTGCCAACTGCGTTAGACTTATTCCTATGAAGAGCATTGATGACATCTGAAAATTCAACATTCTTCCAATACAGTCTGGTGTCGTCATAGTTAGATTCGTTAATGTATTTAAGGTCAATCGCATCCCCGACAGAAGACAGTTGCGGACGAGTAGAGAAATATTGATTTAACTCTTTAATTGAAAATGGTAGAGTGTGCTCAGTGGTTTTGGTTTTTACAAGGCCAATTTTCCGAAGTTGTTTCCAGATAGAGTTAGGATCTTTAAGTTTAGAGAAAGTAGCAAGGTNGTATTCTTCCTTTGCACTACGAACGATGGTTTGTACCTGATTTCTTAATAACTTATATTGAGCATAATTTGCTACACTCTTGGATCGTCTCCATCTTCTGCGAGCTCTACCTCTCTCAGACATACGCACCTTAATATCTGCNGTCAACCACGGCGCAGGCAAGTGTCTAGGTTGTATCGTTTTTATAGGTGCATTTTCGTCAAAGCAGGTCAGNAGATAGTGGTTGAATAAATAAACTTTGTGATTTATGTCGTTGGTATTCAGCAGACGACTCCAGTCGCAATTCGAGAGATCGTTTAAAAATTTATCGTTGTCAAATGAGTTGAAGTCTCTGACAGTGATAGTTCTCTTTTGGATTCTCCTGATGGAGATGTTATAGTTTATCTCGATTAGATCATGCGAAGATAAAAAGCAAACATCACGCTGATTGAAAGAGATCAGATTATCTACGTTGTCGATAAGACACAAATCTAGGAATGTAGAAGAGGTTTGTGTATGATACGTGGGAGAGAACGGCACGAGAAACATATTATGCGCTCTCGTATAGGAGCGAATTTGCTCAGAATCGAATGTACTGGTGTTCATGTCTGCGTTGAAATCGCCNAAGATTATGCTGTGTTTGTAGTGTATAGATAAGTCATAGAAAACGTTGAAAAAATCACCTANGTGTCCACAGTGAGGTGGCCTGTAAACTACAGCAAGTAGAATCTTAGAGTGTGAAGCAGTCACAATCTCAGCANTTAAGTATTCTGGTTTTTTCGAGTATTTACTTTCAGATGATTTTAAAATTTTGGCCTGGTTAGAAGTGGTAAGATAGAAAGCGACGCCTCCACCNCTCTTGCCGATTCTGTCACNCCTAAATAGCTGATATCCAGGNAGAGAGACGGAGCAATCGAGTATGGCAGGCTTAAGCCATGTTTCAGAGAGGCAGATTATGTCATAAGGAGAGTTGACAAAAAAAGTCATGAACTCATCTAGGTGTGCCATTAACGATTGACAGTTCACGTGACATGCTCTCATTGTTTTTGTGTTGCTAGTCATCTTGTCCATAATTAGTGTTTTTAACTTTTTCCATAAGTCGTTTTCCTAAGATTGGACAATTCTTTCCGTCAAAAGCAGAGTGATGAGCAGTAGAACGTAGCCAGCGTTTACAATTACCACATATTGCGATGTTATTTTTCCTAAGATAGTCCTTTGTCTCGTGTTCTTCAGCACAGAAACCACACAGCGGCGAGGATCTACAATTCTTGGCTAGATGTCCGAAAGTTAAGCACTTAAAACATTGTAAGACTCTCACATAGTCTTCAAAACTGCAGGCTGANTAATTAATATAGACATTCTTTTCTTTAAATAAGAGAGTACGGATATGAGGAGGAACTTCGATGATGCAGCTTGTAGTTTTACGTCCATTTTTTGGTGGAAAAATGTGGACAACATCAACTTCAGGAGAGTTCTGATTGTTGAGATTTAAAGCAATGAATTCCTCACGTAATTCATCCCGTGACAGATTACAAGGAACACCTCGTATAATTAGTCGAGAATTTGATTTTTTACTTTGTCTTATTTCTAATTTGTCCTTATCCTGCTTTATCGAGTTCGTTAGAATTTTTCATCTTAGATATATCCGCGGTGTGTGCTTTAATGCGTACTCCATTTTTCTTAATAGGTACAATTTTGTTGACCTTGAGATTAAAACTAGCTGGTTTAATTGCATTCTGAAATGCTATTTTGGTATCTTCTGACGTTGTGAATTTATCATTTATATCTTCTCTAGGCACAACCAGTATGTCCGTCGTTTTAGAGACTTCAAGAGAAGGGCCATGTGCAACGTTCACGATAGGNTTCTTAGACTGGAGAACAGAAGAATAAGAGCGTCGGCTGAAAGCGACGGAGCTGTCAGTAGGCGAAGTAGCGCTATGAGAAGTAGATAATGACTCATACAGATTCGAGACTGCTTCAACAATCATATTTTTAATATCATTCGCTGACAAAGCAGCAGATTCGTTTTCGTTTTGGTCTCTCTCCAATAGACAGAGGTAAGCAGTGGAAATCTCAAAGAAAGCCTCCCTACAGACTCTGAATGCCGATTCGATTTTCTTCCTCTTATCTAAAGCATCCTTGCTAGACAGTAGGAGATTGGCTACGATACTANTATGTTCATTGATTGAGCGTTTTAAAGCATTAATTTTAGATGCATTAATAATAAGCGAACCGGCAGACATACCGCTAGAGTTTAATAAATTGACAGTAGATTGTATTGAAGAACTAGAAGGCTGTTTTCTAAGTTCGCCGCCGTTGGTACTCTCGACGCATCTCACAACGTCATCCCCGCCAAATCCAGTCGAAGGGGGGGAACGAAGCACAGACATAATCACAAGCCACCTCCAGTCGCGGAAAAGATGCTCGCCAAAAGACTCCCCTCTCCCGCAGCGCAGGCGCGCAGATGAAAACTGGGCAGATAACCGACACACCTTCCAGAAAGATCCAAGCAGTTCAAAAACCAGAAAAATCCGCAGAATTACTCTCGTGAAACAGAGAGATCGATTCGCAATCAATCAGTGTGAGCGAAAATTCTAGTTAGAGGTACTCCTGCAAAACTAAAGGGCCCAAGGGCCCAGAAAGCGGCAGAAAACTGATCTAATTGACAGAGCACAAAACACACGTCTGATCCCACTTACCGGAGCCGGCAGAGAGGGAGGGAGGGATGGAGGGGGGAGGGAGGG